TGTGAATCATGACCCCAAAATAGGGGAGGGGAAATGCCTGGAATGTTATGTGCAAAGGAAGGGAAATTCAGATCTTGGCATTCTCCATACCGTGCTGACACTCCTCTACACTAATAAAGGCTTTTTAGGTTAAACCATGCCTGAAAGTTCTTTGAAGTGTTTCATTAGTAAGACACATGACAACATCTTGATATTCACGAGAAGGCGTTGGAATAGTTACCTACAAACAACTCCAGCTTTAGGTCATCTACCCTGAACTATATTCATACTTTGAAGTATTAAGTATTAATATTATATAGTAGGTTCAGTGTCTTGGAATTCACAATTCTGGTTTGAGAGAGAAAATGTTGTCATTTATTTTAATATATGAAAAATGCATATATTACAAAAATAATAATGGTAAATTCTAGGATCATCTGGTCACTTTCTCTCACAATTCCAATAATTTCCACTTCCTCAATCATTTCTTACCTGTTAGTTAACTATTACAGTCAGGTCCAGAAATATTGGGACATCGACACAATTCAAACATCTTTGGCTCTATACACCACCACAATGGAGTTGGAATGAAACAAAAACAATGTGCTTTAACTGCAGACTGTCAGCTTTAATTTGAAGGTATGTACATCCAACTCAGGTGAACGGGGTAGGACTTACAGCAGTTTGCATATGTGCCTCCCACTTGTTAAGGGACCAAAGGTAATGGGACAGAATAATAATCATAAATCAAACTTTCCCTTCTTAATACTTGGTTGCAAATCCTTTGCAGTCAATCACAGCCTGAAGTCTGGAACGCATAGACATCACCAGACGCTGGGTTTCATCCCTGGTGATGCTCTGCCAGGCCTCTACTGCAACTGTCTTCAGTTCCTGCTTGTTCTTGGGGCATTTTCCCTTCAGTTTTGTCTTCAGCAAGTGAAATGCATGCTCAATGGGATTCAGGTCAGGTGACTCACTTGGCCATTGCATAACATTCCACTTCTGTCCCTTCACAAACTCTTTGGTTGCTTTTGCAGTATGCTTTGGGTCATTGTCCATCTGCACTGTGAAGCGCCGTCCAATGAGTACTGCAGCATTTGGCTGAATGTGAGCAGATAATATTGCCCGAAAAACTTCAAAATGCATCCTGCTGCTTTTGTCAGTAGTCACATCATCAATAAATACAAGAGAACCAGTTCCGTTGGCAGCCATACATGCCCAAGCCATGAAACTACCACCATCCTTCACTGATGAGGTGGTATGCTTAGGATCATGAGCAGTTCCTTTCCTTCTCCATACTCTTCTCTTCCCATCACTCTGGTACAAGTTGATCTTGGTCTCATCTGTCCATAGGATCTTGTTCTAGAACTGTGAAGGCTTTGTTAGATGTTGTTTGGCAAACTCTAATCTGGCCTTCCTGTTTTTGAGGCTCACCAATGGTTTACATCTTGTGGTGAACCCTCTGTATTCACTCTGGTGAAGTCTTCTCTTGATTGTTGACTTTGACACACATACACCTACCTCCTGGAGAGTGTTCTTGATCTGGCCAACTGTTGTGAAGGGTGTTTTCTTCACCAGGGAAAGAATTCTTCAGTCATCCACCACAGTTGTTTTCCGTGGTCTCCCGGGTCTTTTGGTGTTGCTGAGCTCATCGGTGCGTTCCTTCTTTTTGAGAATGTTCCAAACAGTTGTTTTGGCCACGCCTAATGTTCTTGCTATCTCTCTGATGGGTTTGTTTTGCTTCTTCAGCCTAATGATGGCTTGCTTCACTGATAGTGACAGCTCTTTGGATCTCATCTTTTTTTTTTATTGAAAATTTTTAAGTTTTTACAAATAACAAAAAAAGAACAATAACAAACAAAAAAAACAAAACAACCCTCACCCAACCCCTCCCAAACCACCCCCTCCATCCCCCCCCCGAGCTTCCCAGAGCTGAATATAGGCTTAATTAAAATTTTAAGAAACCTGAACAAATTTTAACAACTTATAAAATAGTTAATAATAAAATATATATGACATAAACATTAAAAAGAAAAAATACTTAAAAAGGAAAAAAAGGAGAAAGAAAGAAAGAAGAAAAGAAATAGGAAAAAGAAAAAAAAGAAAAAAAGAGAAAACAATCTATAAAATATGAAAAATTATATACAAGTTATAAAAAAGCTAAATGATATTTTTATATCCAATTTATGTTGTATAAAATTTATCCATTTTTCCCATACAGCAAAAAATTTCTCTTGCGATTGCTCCTTTAAAAAAGCCGAAATCTTTGCCATTTCCGCCAGATAGGAAACTTTAAAAAACCACTCTTGCAAGGTAGGCAAAGATTCCTTCTTCCAATATTGCCCTACTAACAGCCTTGCGGCTGTAATCAAATTTAACATCAATATAACCTCCTTAGCATCACAATCAGTAACAATACCTAACAAAAATAATTGCGGAGTAAATTTTACCCTCCTTCTAAAAATTCTTTGAATATTCCACCATATCTTAATCCAAAAAGCTTTTATATTTTTGCATGACCACCAAATATGATAATAGGTGGCGTCCAAACAGCCACATCTCCAACATTTAGGCTGTAAATCAGGGTACATAAGAGACATTTTTTGTGGATCAAGGTGCCACCTATAAAACATTTTATAAAAATTCTCCCTTAGGTTCTGGGCTTGTGTAAATTTAACATTCCTCACCCAGATAATTTCCCAGGTATCCAGTGGGATTAGTTCACCAAAATTTTGTGCCCATTTAATCATACAATCTTTGATTAATTCAGATTCTGAATCCAATCCCACTAGAACCCCGTAGATCCTCTTAATGTGAGTTTGTCTTTGATCCTTTACTTGTTTAAAAAGATTTTCATCTTCTCTAAGCCAGCCCATATTACAATCCATCTTCCATCTGTCCACTAATTGTCTATATTGAAACCATGAATAGGTAATATTTTCATGTACTAAATCTTCCAAAGATTTTAACTGCCAATTTTGACCATCCCATCTAAGTAATTGTGTGTAAGAAACCCTATCCATTTTAACTCCTTTCCTTATCCCCTCTATCGCATGCCAAGGTATAGCCCTGGATCTCATCTTGAGAGTTGACAGCAACAGATTCCAAATGCAAATAGAACACTTGAAATGAACTCTGGGCCTTTTATCTGCAATTGTAATTGGGGTAATGAGGGAATATCACACACCTGGCCATGGAACAGCTGAGAAGCCAATTGTCCCATTACCTTTGGTCCCTTAACAAGTGGGAGGCACATATGCAAACAGCTGTAAGTCCTACCCCGTTCACCTGAGTTGGATGTACATACCCTCAAATTAAAGCTGACAGTCTGCAGTTAAAGCACATTGTGTTTGTTTCATTCCAACTCCATTGTGGTAGTGTATAGAGCCAAAGATGTTCGAATTGTGTCAATGTCCCAATATTTCTGGACCTGACTGTAAGTTCAATGTAGTTGATCTACAAATTTCTTCATTCATCTTTTGGTCAATTATTTATAAGGAATGTCAAGAACAAGTTGGATCTCCCACGGGATGTTCAATCTGATTCCTATATGTTAGAGTAGCTGAAAAATCTCCCATTAGCATAGTGGTATGCTTCCTGGATACTCTAGAATCTCTAGAAATGTTGTCAGGATCGAGTTATATTTCCTTTCTATCTATCTCTAATCTAAAACCAATTATTACTATTTCCTGGGTCCTGCCATACTCCCAAAAGGGAGGGGGGACATGCAGAGGGGTTTTATTACTTTCACTTCCTCAATTCACTACAAAGTAATCTTTTGTTAATTCGCCTCTACTAACCATTACAATGGAACCATTTGACTCTTATCCTATGTCCTTCTGAATTTCTCTTCCTTACTGGGGAAACTAGAAAATGGAGGGTGAAAAGACACAGAGCTCTGGAATCTGGTTTATTTCTCCTTCATCAAGATAAACTCTGAAGAGCTGGTGAATGATCATGGAGCCGGTTTGATGTTATCTTTCATGGGTTTAACACCTAGAGAATTGCCGGTAGGCTGGAAGGAATGTGGGGAGGAGTTTGCTTAGGGACACTTTAAAACATCAATGTATAAGGAAATCCCTCAGATCCTGTCTATCATGCCTGCTATCAATTTCTTTTAATAAAAGTTCCTGTTGGAAGAAACCATTTCCAAGAGTTCTGCTTTCTTAAGATGTGGATTGAAGTGGGTCCTTACAAATGTGCTTATTCATGTGTAATACGCTAACCATTGCTTTTGTGAGGTCTGGTTTTTCGAATAAATTAAATCCTTTCAATACTGTATTCCATTCATAAATTCTATCTCATCAGGTGTTAATAATATCAACAAACCATATTTACTCCCTCTTTGCTATGTCTTCTAATTTTCTCTGCATGCTCCCCATAATTTGTGACCTTGAATACAGCTCTTCTGCATTTTCTAATGTATTGATGAACATCCCTTTCTTTATATCGCTTCCTTATATGATTATGGATACTGGACATTTTTAGGGTGGTTCTGGATACTGGTGTTTCCTCCCACCCTCCCAGATTTAAAACTTGCCATATAACCTGAGCTGATAACACTTTTCCTCAGATAGAAGTATCAAGATTTAAGTGGTTTTTAAATTTTAATGCAAAAATGATGTAATCATGTCTTGACTCACAAAATGTTTTTTTCTCTAATACTGAGAACAGTCTGACAAAAAGTTATGACTATATTAATATTGGATCTTGAACTTAAGGTTTGCTTTAAAATTTACACTGCAATGCATGTTCTCCTTCTAAAAATAGCCCCAAGCCTGACTTATAAATGTGCCACATTATAAGGATTTCTGGCCATAGTAAAATCTGCTTTTCTTCTCCTTATGCTTGGTCCTACCTCCAGTAGTAATATGTATAATTTGGCTATAGCAACAAAATACTGTCTTCAGTCTGAGTAGTCTTCCTAATATTGGATTGTTTCTGGAGTTCTAATTGCTTTCTTTCATGATTTTCCAACTATTAGATTCCTGAAGTTCAAAGACATATTGATAAATGCTCACCTCTACAGGAAAATTCTCCTTAGTAGTATCCACAAAAGGCTGGCAGTAATGGGGATCCAAGTATAACAGGAAGTCATCTACGCAGCAAAGGAAGTAGGAGGCAGAAATAAGCAATGCATCTTAGTATGACTATCTTCTACTTGAAAAATACTACACTTGTCAAAAGGCACGTACCACCCAACATGCCCTTAGCTGCTTTTTCAACCAATTGGTTCACATACCTCCTCTTTGAATTAATTTGCTGCTTAACTGGTAGCAGCTTTATAAATAGCTATTTGCTTCTTTTCCCATTTACCAAGGATAATTCTACATTTTTTATTAGGTAAATGACAAGGATTACCTATATGCAGGCATATTCTTCAAGTACAGAGAACAAGTACTGCCTTTTTAGTTAAGATCCATTCAGATCCAATTAGATAGTTCTTTCCTCCCTAAATATAAGCAGCCCCCCAAAATAAAAAATCCCTGCTTATTTACTTCTTTTTATATTGACCATCCTTCGGACAAGAGCTACTTTACCATATGCATTGTTGGCATTTCACTGGAACCACACTGGCTTAAAATATCTTAATATTACTCAAGGAAGGCTTTTATTTTTACTGGTTTACTAGTTTACTGTTTTTATTAGTTTAATTGCTCATTTTTAACCATATAAAAATAATGGTTTGGGTAGTAACATATAATAAATAAAAATGATATATCAAGCCCTCTTGGAGCTGTACACATGGATTGATTGGAAAAGGTGAACTTCCTTTTACTGGTTTGAGAAAGTAATAAGGATTGTCAGACATGGATTCTTCAAATTCAGCTGTGTTGGGTAAATTGCCAATTAAAATTTGACTCCATAATTCTGTAACTCATGTGTCTGGCAATCCAAACAAGCATAAAACCAAGAGTGTCATAATTACAAACCGAAATTTCAGTAATAATTCAAACAATATACAATAGGAAAAACATAACATGCAAATTTTGGTACTGTTTCACTGGTAATTACAGTGTAAACTTTATACCTTTATGTTAAGAATTTTGGTAATAAATTTACTGGTGATATAGCTTAGTGTAGAAATTAGAAAAGCTGATTTGGGTTATATCAATCTATTATTGTGAGGAAAAAATAGATTAGAGATTTCTGAGGTTCACATTGAAATTGATTACCTTGATATCCAACAAAGTAGAGTGAGTGTTTTGGTTTCCCTCCAATAATTCCAATGCAGAAATCTAATTTCAACAGCTCCTGCCGAATAAGTTTCAGAATTCAGTAATTCCACCAAATCTTGGTTCCTCTTCCACTGTGATATTCAAATCCCAGTCCTTATCTACAATGACTGGTACAGAGAGACTATCACTTTTCAACCACATTGGACAAATGTAGGGAAAGATAATGCAAGTGGTAAGAGTTGGAAAAGCTGATAATTTAGTCCACTGCTATTTCTGATTTGCTGTTTTGTAAGAGCAATTTTCTTGTCTTAAACAACTGGGAATACATACAAGGAGATTCCAGAAACCACCTCCTACACAAACATTGTACAGTTCTGCTTACAGAATATTGCAACTTTGAGGCACAATCAATATGTCCTTTTCATGCAATCAGTTGGAAAAGAATGAGACATCAACATGGATTGCATGTGAACCCTGGTATCCCACTATTTGCACCTGTTCTCAAGTCACCTTGATGCACTCCACATAGGCAGGATTAAAAGTCTCTCCACCCAATCGCATGGGCACTAGGATAATGACTGCTTTCCATTCTGCCTCAGGATCCCATGGAGTCCTGCTGTTATTCTTCTTGGCTAGGTGTGCCACATCCCCTTTGTATACTATGGGGACACGAGAGAAGGGAATACAGTAATAAACTATATGGACAGAAAACTAGCTAAGTCCCTTTGACTGTCCTGAGGCTTGAGCCCAGGACAAACCTGCCCAATAGCCCCTTCTCCAAACCTTACCTGTGCAATCCTGAGATACATATATTACCAGATTGCCTGCTTCTATAGAGCAATCCACTGCTTTCCTACAGGAACAAAATAACACACTTCAGTGGAACAGTATCCTGCCAATTTTTCACAGTTCAGATGGTTGTCATGGGAAGGAGGATGGGGAGTAGACAAACAGTAAACTTAGTAATGGGAAAATACTCTTGCTGGAAAAAAAGGAAACTGGGTTCAGTTTGTGATAGCAAAGATGTAGGAGTCAGAAAAGCTTCCAAGATGTTGCCCCAATACATAAAATTGTAGTAGCTTTTATCTTCTTGATTTTGCTGGCCCACAACTCACAGAAAACTGAACCAATGTGAGTAACGGTATGGCATGCCAGGTTCCCCACTCCTAATAAGAATATATTTGGCTTGCAAGGTGACAGCTCCTTAAAGATTCAGATGCTAAAGAAGATATGTGAGGTTTGCCATGTATTGCCTTTCTCACCTTTTTCATAATTAATGATGCAATTCATCAAGGACAAGGAAACCAGCAAAGTTCTATTGTTACTCTTTTCAGCAAAACTTAGACAAGTCTCCTGCATTCTAAGCAGGCATTTTAAATGGGACCGATCCAGCAGGTCCATTTAGTGCTTTAGTCAACCATTCTGAAACCTTGTGATAACAGAGTTTGGTTATCCCTGGTTGTGTTATCAAAAATTTCCCAAAATAAGAACATGGAACATTCTGGGCAGAGAACCTGACTCACACATAGCTAGCTGAGCACACAACAGAATACTGAGATAATAAGGAGCAGAAGCAAAATGTTAACCATTTGAAACACTCACTTTTAAAATTTGAAGCAAATTATTAAAGTCACTCTGAGAATACTCAAAATACTACCAAAGTAATTAAAACAGCCTATTTCAGATGCAGAACAGCTATTTTAAATTAGAAATAATTTTGAACTCCAGGTGGGATATTTTCATTTCAAAATAGTCAAATTCAAAGTACACAATAGACCTCCCAACTTAACTACCAACAGACCAGAATATCCGCCCATAAAGACTCCTGCTGAGAAAATTGTTAATGATCCCCAAACCTGCTATTCCTCATTTCTCTAAAATAAATTCCTTCAGATAACATATTACCACTCACCTGAGGATGTGGGCAGTAACAGATGGGCCATACCAATCTCCAGCTTTTTTCCCTGAATTATGCCCAAGATCAACTAGTTTGTGAATCCCAAAGGGTGCTTGTGGCTGATCTGCAAACCATGAAATAATCTTACGGTGATAATACTCCTTCTCCAGTTCATCAGATCTGCAGGTATGCCGATGAGCCCACAACTCCCAGGGGCCTATGGTCCTATTAATGGGGATGGATGAAGCTTGGTGCAGATGAGAGACACTGGGACAGGGCAGAGAGGCAGCTTTCACGGGCTGCATATCTGTCAAATTGGTAGTGATAAGGACATCTGACCAGATCCAGTCTGAAAAGCGAAACGCAAAACCAAAAAAAATAAGAAAGGATAGCAAGCCATCCAATTCCCCAAAGCCCATAGAAAGTAATTTGGATATCATGTATTCACTTAATAGCAAACAAACTGTAACAAACTGTATATGTGGATACTATACCTGCTGAACTTTGCTAAATTATGACCCTCATTTTGGTTGGTGGAGGAAACTGGTACCACAAATTATGAGCTACTCACATTTTCTATTATTATGCAGATGTCCTCTGTTGATCTTTAGAAGATCAACAAATCCAAAGAAGCTACTGAATTAGATAACTCTTTTAAGATACTCCATGGGACAAGATGTAAGCATTATACATTCCAGATACTTAGCCTGTATGTCTCAGTACAAAGGCATGAGAAATAAAATTCCGCTCAGATATCTCATATATAGCCTTGCTGCTCACCTTTGCTAAGAAGATGGACAAGGAGACCTTGAGCAAGCAGCATCTGCCCACTGCGCAACATACAGCCCCAGCCACAATCAGTGGTCCATGCAGTGCCTTCGAGCTGCTGAAAATCTCGACGGTAAGTCAGCCAGATATGAGAGGCAAAGTCTTTCTGGAAGTGCTCCACGTCCTCTTCAAGGAAAAACAAAATTCTGTCAGATAGAGGTCCTCTATGGCAGAGAAACTATTTTTTTATCAGGCCTCAAAGAAGCCCGAAGACACTTTCACACAAACTAAAGCTGCAAGAAATCTTAGCATATAACTTTGCAGTATAAGGCAAGAAAGGGAGAAAAAGATTATAAAGAGATAGCATAAAAAAACTTTCCAGGCCTTATTGAACATACTTTTTATTTTGGTCCTGTCAATCTTCTAAAACATAGCAACATTCTTTAATATGGATGGATGTACTGTACACCAGGTTGCTGAGATTCTGAGATTTCTGAGAGAAAAGGAAGGGTAGCCAAATAGAACTCAGCTAAGTTATGAGAAGACCCTGCCCTATTGCATCAAACTTACTCACCCTGTTCTCCAAAGTGATAGACACGTCCAAACAGATGGATTGGGGAAAGCTTGCTGAAATTGGTTTTGATTCTGAGAGTCCAACCTGAAAAGAAAAAGGAACAGAAAACTTAATCTCAGATGATGTGATATGTCAAGTTTAAAGCAACTGAGCAATCCCTTTTTTCTTATAGAAGTTACTGAAGGAATGTGTTACCTAACTTCCAATTTTCCAACAGTACATAAATAATCCTCACTTGCACAAATGCATGACAGCAGCAGAGGAACAATCCTCTGAACATAGTCTTTTCCCTATTAATCTCTTTTGTCATTGAGGCAATCAAGGAATAAGAAATAAAGGAAGTCTCAGGGCAGGAATCCTCCAAATACACCCCAATTATTGGTAATGGAGGTGGGGTGGAGGTCTAACCAGTTGGCTCAACTTTGTCCTTAGAATACAGGTAGTCCTCGACTTATGAGCACAACTGAGCTCAATATTTCTGTGGCTAAGTGAATTTGTTAAATGAATTTTGACCCATTTTATGACCTTTCTTGCCACAATTATTAAGTGAATCACTGCAGTAGTTAAGTTAGTAACACAGTTGTTAAGTTAATCTGGCTTTCCTATTGACTTTGCTTGTCAGAAGGTCAAAAGGTAATCACATGACCCCAGGACACTGCAACCCTAATAAATATGAGTTGGTTACCAAGCATCGGAATTCTGATCATGTGAGCATGGGGATATTGCAACGGTCATATGAAAAACGGTCATAAGTCACTTTTTTCAATACTGCTGTAACTTTGATCACTAAATTAACTGTTGTAAGCTAAGAACTAACTCTATGCACAACCATTTAACCTATGCAGTGATTGATAATATCTATACTATATCTATAGTAAAGGTAATTAACAGTGTAAACCCCTCTACCATTCTAATCAAGGAGGAAGTGAGTTCAAATAATGACCTATTGTTTTGCCTCATCAAAAGATTACAGAAATCCAGGATTGGAAATGGAGTGAATTATTAGACATTACTATAGGCATTATTAGGCATTATTTCAGAGGAGAGAAAAATCAGTGATAATATAAACTAAGGAATTTATATTACTACCGATAGTTTGTATCTTTAAAAAAATGATAACTTTCAACAATAAAATGCTTGTGTTTACAACAGCACACCAAGCTAAAATATTTTTACCAGTCATTCTAAAATCCAGATTCTATGTTTTAAGAGTAGTTCTATTAATCTCTCTGTTCTGATGAGAGTTATAAGTAAACTTATCAAGCATCCCCCAGTTCATCTTGACTAGTATGAAGAAAACTGCAGAGGAACAAGAGAAAAGTTGTTCTCCTAGTATAATATTCACATGAGGAGATATCGAAAGTATCTATGGTCTTGTAGTTTCAGCACAGAAGCAGTAAACGCAAAGCACCTTGAAGAACTGTGGCCCTTCAAATGTTGCTGGCAAAGATGAGGAATTCTCAGACTCTCATTTATTACATGACTTTTCTTTCTATGTTTGGGTCTGCCCTTCTGCTGGGAGGGAGGAGGCTGGTACGGGGTTGTAAACGGAAGAAGGAATGTGCCCTGGGCCATCTGTCTTATCTCAGCACTGAGGAGAGGAGATCAAGAAGCCGAGAGGAAACTGAAATCCTGAGAATGTTGTCTGGGAACTGCGCTTATCAATTTGGTTCCCATAACAATTTTGCACCTCAGGATTAGATGAAATAAAACCAGAGTTTTGGCTGTTGGGCTGGGGTCTATAAAGGATGTTTTAGTATAACGTTTTGCATGGGAAAATACTAGATCTTGCTTTGCTTTCTTGCTGTCACTGTTTCTCAATAAAAGTTCCTTTTGAGATAATGCCTGTCTGCTTTCTTGGGAAGACTAGCTGAGGCAAGACCTTACATTAAGCAAGATCTGCAAAAAGGTCAACCCAGAGAGGCGACTGCCCTACCGTGCACACCATGTCCCTCCACAGAGCGAACAAGACGAGACTGAATCCTGGGGCGAGTCCGCTGCAAAGGATCACCCAGAAGAAAGCTCCTCCAGATGGATGGAAGAAATGATCAAGGCAGAAAGCTTCATGAAGCCAAGGTAGTCAGTCGGAGTAAGAAAGAAGAGTGGGAAGGAAAAGCATAGTAACATTCACCCGAAGCAACCGGAGAAAGGGCTGGAAGTGGGAGATGGAACTGCTCTCTGACGAGGAGGACGAGTACAAAGGAGAGCAGGAGTCGATCAATGAGATCATGAAGCAAGCTGTGCAATACATGGTGGAAGTCTTTCAGAACCTGAAGACAAGGTCCGGATGGCACAAGAGTAAAAAGAGGAAGTAACTGGAAGAAACCAAGGATGGTAGGAGTGAATTGGGGACGTCCGAATACGCAGCAGGGGCAGCCAACTCCACGGAAACTGCAGCGACCGCCCCAACGACACAGCAGCCAGCAGTTCCCAGAGGGGGGAACACTCCACCAACCCACAGAGAGAGAGCCCCACCAGAAGAACCAAAGCTGGTTCCCCACAAGGTGAAATTCAATGGGGACCCCCAGTAACTGGGTTTGTTCCTGGCTCATGTATTCACCTACATGTAAATATATGGGAGAACCCTCTCCAGTGAGGAAGCCAGAGTCAGGGTCATTACCCTAGCCCTAGAAGGAACCGCAGCTCGGTGGATGGTTATTCTGCACAACTGCAATGCACCGAAACTTCAAAACTTTAACCATTTCATGAGAGCCTTGAGATGGAGGTTTGATGACTGCCTAGCTCACGGGTCAGCAACCCACGGCTCCAGAGCCACATGTGGCTCTTTGAGCCTTCTCCTGCGGCTCCCAGCCTCCTCTGCCATTGCAGACAGAGAGACAGAGACAGAGAAAGGCATTTGCGCTTCCCTTCTCTCTCTCTCTCTCTCTCTCTCTCTCTCTCTCTCTCTCTCTCTCTGTGTGTGTGTGTGTGTGTATGTATGTATGTAAAAAAGAGAGTAGCCTCACGCTGTTCTCCGATGAGCTGACAAGCTTATTGAGCAGGGTTCCTGCCTTGGCTGCGTCTCTGCAGGAAGCAGGAAGGGCAGAAAAGAGCCAGCTCAATAAGAATGTGTGTCAGCTTGCTGGAGAACAGCTTGAAGCCAGCTTGCCAGGTGAACAGAAGATCGGAGAGAGAGAGAACGCGAGGAGAGAGAGAAAGAGAGGGAGAGGAGAGAGGGAAAGGAAAGAAAGAGAACTCATGCACAGCAGCCTCTATTTCTTTTTAATTAAACTCTTCAATTAAGCTTTCACCCTCACACGCGCATGCGCGCAAGTTTTGCAGCTCCCAGTGTTTTCTCTGGGAAACGGGTCCAAGTGGCTCTTTGAGTGTTTAAGGTTGCAGACCCCTGGCCTAGCTGATTGAAAAGCACGGGATCGCATAAAGATTGTGAGGCAAGTACACCAGCCAGTAGATGAGTATATGGAAGAATTCAGGGACCTGGCATGCCGCCTCAACTGGCCTGAAGACATCTTGATCAGCTGCTTCCAGGATGGACTGAATGATGACTGTATAATGCATGTGTGGCCAGGGATGCCCCGGTACAATTGCATAATTGGTGCCTCCTAACCGAGGAGGTGGAAATCTACCAGAACCGCAACCCATACTACTCTGGCAGAGTGGAAACGATCCCCAGCGGAGAAGAAAAGAGAAGCAGCTAAAGCCTCAGCTGCAACCCCACGGTCAACATCCTGTTTTAAGTGTGGCAAGGAAGGTCATCACACCGTAGAATGCCGCAGCAAAACTCTGACCAAGAGAGGCAAACAACAGCCTGGAGGGAAGCTGACCAAGCCCACCCAACACCAGAAAGACATGGCCCTGAGAAGCACAGAGATTGTGGATTCCATTCAACCCCAAAGCCAGGAGTGGAACTCCAACCCCACCAGATGAACTGGGGGCACCATAAAATGACTATGATAATGACTCATTACTAAGTGGGCCGATCGCGCCAATGACCATCACGCCAATTGACTACCCAGGCTATCGGATCTCACATGAATGGGTGGAGACAGACCCAGAGAAAGTACATGCTGTTCTGGAATGGGCAGCTCCCCATACCAGAAAGCAACTATAGAACTTCTTGGGTTTGCGAATTTCTACTGGCAATTCATCCCTTCTTTCATCCAGATTGCCTTATCTATCACAAACCTGTTAAAAACAAAAGGGATGGATAAGCCAAAACCCAGCCAGTCTCTAAAATGGACAATGGAGTGTCAAGCAACATTTGAAAAACTAAAAAGGCTTTTCTCGGCAAAACCAATTTTAAAACACCCGGATCCAGAAAAGGGATTTGTAATTCAAGGTGACGCCAGCAATGTAGCTGTGGGAGCAGTGTTGCTCCAAGGAAATGAGAAAGGCCAACTACAACTATATGTCTCCAAAAAATTATTAGAAACCGAACAGCATTGAGCAGTTTGGGAGAAGGAAGCTTATGTAGTACGCTGGGCCTTCCTTACCTGGAGGCACTTCTTGGAAGGAAGTAAAATCCCCTTCCAAGTATGGACTGACCATAAAAACCTAGAAGCTCTCAGAACGCCCAGGAAGCTGCCACCTAAACAAGCCCAGTGAGCCCAACACTTCCACTTATTCAATTTCAGTCTCCACTACTTGCCGGGGGGAAGAACTTCTTCGCTGATGCCCTGTCCAGGATGCCATAGTACAACAGCTCCAAAGCTAATGTAGTGAAGCCTTTATTAACAGCACAGCAACTAGTGGCCCCAATGGTCACATCACAGAAGAGATGCCCCACCACTGGACAATGTTGCCTCAACCGTGTTCAAACAAGCTTGAGAAAGACAAGTGGTTTTCAAAGCATAAAAATCTCTGCTTAATGCAGGATGGACTAGCATGGGTGGGAGAAAAACTCTATGTCCTGCCATGCAAAGATTAAAAACTATGCAAGTTTCCCATGATTTAAAACTTGCAGGGCACTTCAGATTTGTGAAGACCCTACACCTGATAAAAAGGCAATTCTAATGGCAATCGTGGAAAAAAGACATTGAAAATTATGTGGCCAGCTGCCCTATTAGGGCTGTAGTAAAGCGAAGGCAAAGGAAAATCCCTGGTCTTTTGCAGCCTGTAGCAAG